ATTTGGACTGCTTGGAGACTACAAAAGCGAAGAGTTAAAAATGAAAGTAACATCAATTTCCCCCTAAATTACCTCGATATATTTATTTTTAAGAGTTAGTGTTTTCTTATCTTATAAAAAATATGAGAAAAATTATTTTAAAATTAAGTTATTTTAATAAAACACTATAAAAAAACATAAAAAACTTTAATTTATGTTTTAAAAATATAATATATTAATATTTTTTAATAAAAATTTATTGAAATGAAGTGATTTTAAAATAATTTTTTTTAATTTTTATAAGATAAAACAGGTAGACATTATTATTCCCTTTACTTTATCCAGTAAAATTTTTAGGAAGAATTTTCAATTGGCCAAATATGCAAATTCCATCATAATATTTTTGAGTTATAGCACATTAGCACTTATTAAATAAATAAAGTAAATTGTCACCTCAAAATTTCATTTTATAGAAATTAACTCAAATTTAATGGTTGATATCAAATTTTAATTAGACTTCAAAAACAATAGTTTATCAAAAAATGTCAATTATTAAATTTGGGCTAATTTTTTTAAAATAAAATTTTGAGGAAACAATTTGCTTCAACTCATTTTTTTAGATATTAATTTGCTACAACTCGAAAATATTAAGAGTCAATTTTGCACATTTTGCCTTTTTCAATTTCAATTAAAAAAAATAGGAAGAAACCTTTTGATCTTTGAAGATATATGACGTATTTTTATGCCTTTTCCTGAAAAAGGTTCTGATTTTCAGCTGACTTTTTTTTTTCTTTTTTTTCTTTTTTTTTTCTAATAGCTATAGATAAAATGATTAAGGCCGAGTCTTTGCAATACGACTTTGCCATTGTGCGAGCTGCAACTAATAACTTCTGCAACAAAAATAAGCTTGGACAAGGTGGTTTTGGAGCTGTTTATAAGGTAATGATGACCATTAGAATAAGAAATTTATAACATTCATTATCATCTATGTGTATTGAATTTCAGTCATTAGACATAAATGAAGTAGTTACAAATAACTTTTATAGGGTCAACTTCCAAATGGACGAGTTGTAGCTGTGAAAAGACTATCTAATTATTCTAGACAAAGAGACTCAGAATTTAAGAACGAGATCCTCTTAATGGCCAAGCTTCAACACCGCAATTTGGTCAAACTCCTTGGTTTCTGCTTGGAAGGAAATGAAAGACTTCTCATCTTTGAATTTATGCCAAACGGGGGCCTTGATCAGTTCATATTTGGTATGTGACATGTCCCTTTTTTATTTTACTCTAATATGGATATTTCAGATCGTGTATTAATTAATAATGATTATATATGAACATATATATATATAGACCTTGTCAAACGTGCACAATTGAATTGGGAAGGACGTTACAAAATCATAGAAGGGATTGCTCGAGGGCTTCTTTATCTTCATGAAGACTCTCAACTCAAAGTTATTCATCGTGATCTAAAAGCAAGTAACATTTTGTTAGATGAAGATATGAATCCTAAAATTGCAGATTTTGGCTTGGCAAGACTATTTGTGGTTGATGGGACTCATGGTACTACAAGTAAAATTGTAGGGACGTAGTAAGTATAAGAATCTCATCATTACCTATTTCATCACTTCATACTCTTTAATCATATTTTAAAAATGTTGCATTACAGTGGATATATGGCTCCAGAATATGTCACACAGGGACGATTCTCGTTTAAAACAGATGTTTTTAGTTTTGGTGTTATGATTTTGGAAATTGTGAGTGGTCAAAAAAGTAACTCTATTGGTCATGAAGAAGACACGTTAAACCTTATAAGCATGGTAAGCATATGATATTGTGGTACTTGGAATTAAAACTTTCTTAATTGGTCTTTTATAGTGTAAAATATGTTTGAATTTTGTTTTTGTCATAGGTATGGAAAAATTGGACAGAAGGGACACCACTAAATGTCGTAGATCCCGATTTGCAAAAGGATTCAACATCTCAAGTAACGAGATGCATCCATATTGGATTACTATGTGTTCAAGAAAATTTACTGCTAAGGCCAACCATGGGTTTTGTTGTTGCGATGCTTACTGGCTACCCTGTGAATCTCCCGGTACCCTCACAACCTGCATATTTGCTCATAGACAGTGCTACTCAGTCAAACATGTCATCTTCTCGAGCTCTTATCATTGGCACACTAAAGTCACATCAATCCAATATTGAAATGGCCTTGGCTTCAACAAATCAAGTTACAATTTCCGAGCTACATCCAAGATAGTTTGAAGATCAGTACAACTGTTGTTTATGACTAATGATATTGGGCATTAACAATTTTAGCCTTTCTTGCTTTCTCTTTTTGGAACAAGATGTTATAATATTGTTGAGGACCAACTTAAGATTTTAAAGTTTAAAAAAATAATGAAAAATTAAATGTCAAAAATATAAAAGAAGTTGTCACTTGTCTAGATGGGATAAGTCATTGAGAATGAGTCTACGTAAAGATCGGAGTTCGAGAATTCAGTTAGGAGTGGCAAAAAATATTAATGCATTTCACAATCTTCGGTTTAAACATTATTATATACTTTAATATTAGAGTTTTAATTTAACTTATTTATTATTTTTTATTTAGGTCTCAATAAGCAAGCTTGAAAAATGGATGGACAAAATTGCAACATGTTAAACTTTTGGACTGAAATAGAAGACCATGCATGCACAACAGCAACAAAATGAAAAGTTAAGGGAACTGATTTGGTCAAATTCGAAACATGAAGAATTGATTTGAAAAGATTTAAAATTTCTGGATTAAATTGCTTGATCTCAAAAAGTTTTAGACAAAATTAACATTAAAATAAGGATGATTGATTTTTTAACGTGATCACTCAAATTAAATGTAATTAAATGTAGTTAAGCTTGATTGATTAAAGATTAATTAAAATTAATTAAATAAGTAATCAAACTAATTAACCTTTTACTAAAATGATTAAATAAATCTAAATATTTTAATAAAAGATTATTAAATCAATTACTTATTTCAATTAAGATTGATTAAGTAAACTAATTTCCATTTTCATATCAAATTAATTCTGGTTATATTTACATTTATTATTTTAATCAAGATTTTTTTTTTCTTGAAATGTTCATTATATTCACTTCAATCCATGTCATTCCCACTCAAGAACAATAGCAACAATTCCAGTAGATAACAAGAGAATGGCGGAGTTTCTGGGTAGTGGATCGAAGTCCGATCTGGGGGATCCCACCCACGAGATCAGGCCCAGATCATTCCCCTCACTGCTACCCCAAAAACTCCTCTGTTTCAGATCTATACCAATAAGACAAGGCGCAGCAGAGTCGATGGAAAACTGAGAAGGCCAGCGATTGAGAGGAGAGGAGGAAAATCCCCAGAAGGTTGTTCGGCTGCTGTGAGACAGAGGAGACGACTTGCAGCTGCTGTGAGGCGAAGGCGAGCAAATCTGGAGATTGAATTCGGCTAGAATGATGATAATCGGAAAAATGGTAGAGCCGAGAGAGAGCCCGTGGGTGAGCGGTGATGATGGAGGACGCCGATGTGCAGACGGGAAGAGAATTCCTTGATCCAAGTGGAGAAGATGATTTTGATGGTCGGAGAAGAAACCAGGAATGTTCCGGCTGTTGGAGATGAAAGGGGTTCTCTTCGAGCTCCAAGATCTGTGTATAAGGAAGAAAAAGGGAGCGAGCCTCGACTGAGGGTGTGAAGAGGTTGGTAATGGTAGCTGAAATCAGTGATCGAGAAAGGAGAGAGATCTACAGCTTCTTTTTTCTTTTGTTTCTGCAGCGCCCTTGGTTCGTTCGTCCTTCCAGAGAAAGGAAACTAGGGTTTATTGTTGGGTTTGGGCTGAACTTGGTTTAGTGTTTTTGGGCTGATTTTTGATGGAGTTAGGCCATTTGAGATGAGTTTGAGTTGTAAATGGGCTGAACTTTAAGACCTTTGATTTTTGTAATTTGGCTTTGAACTTTAATTTCTTTTGATTGGGTCCCTTTTTTGAATTTCCTTTTTCATTCTCTTCTTGAAATTTTCTTTTTGCATGTGGCACTTAAAACAAAAATAAAAATAAAGAAAAGAAAAAAATTCATATATTTTTATTTTTTTATGATTTTTTGATTTATATTAATATTTTAATAAAAAACCAAAATAAATTTAAATGAAATATCCAATCTTGAAACATAAAGAATAAAACTAATTAAAATAATTTTCAAAGCAAAACTTAATTTATTCATCGCATAATTAAAAAATATATATATTTTTATAAAAATTTGAATTATGACAAATATATGAGTGGTTTTAGACTTTTAGGGGTAGAAAGGTAGTTGGTCAATCTTGTCAACATAGAAAAGAATAAAGTAACTGATGTTTAATTTTCCTTTCTGAGAATCCTTTTTGGTCGATAACTTTCTGTGTTTTTAAATACAAGTTGGTATTATTCCATAATGGGAAACCCAAACGCGCTTGTTTTCAAATTCTGTGAACTCATGTGGTCCACGGCGGCTAGTCATTAGCGGTGATAACCACTCCCAACCATCTCCATCCTTTTTTAGTAACAGTAAAAACTTGATAAATTTAGACTAGCCCGTTTGTTCACCCAATCAATCTCAATTTCTGGTAATTAATTTGTTCTTCAGGGATTATAGTTAGTGGAAGGGCGATGGAATGGATGTTTTCTTTTGATCTTCTTCTCCTCAGTTTATTAGAATATCAGTATTTATTTTAAAATATTATATTCATATTATAATTGATTATACACATTTAAATTAATTGATTTTATACTTAAAAATATTTTATTGTATAAATCTACATATATATAGGACCTTTGTATATACAATGAAAATGATAAGGGTATAAGTGTAATTTTATGGGTAGGAATTCTCTCTTCTAGGTAATTGCCTAGTTAGAGAAACCTGTTTCTAGTGAGAGAAACTTGCAAAACCTAGTTTCAATGTCACTTTTCATGGCACTTTCTTCTCTTCCTTCTCCATCTATTCCGTCCTGTCCATCATCTTTAGTTTCTTCTTCCTCTGTGGAGATTGCTTCTTTGTCTCATGATAAGATTCAGGCTGAGATTCTTCCTATTACGGGTGCTGCTTCCTTGGCCCAAGTAAATAGCTCTTATCCGGCCATTCCAGTCCATGTAGTGTCCCCTGGTTCTCCGCCACCAATGCTAGTCTCAGAGAGTCAACCCACTTCATGGGTTGCTGTCACCCAGGGTTCTTCGAAACCCCTCACCTTTCACCCCCCTGTTCTTGAAGATGGAAAATTGAAGGTGAAATAACCTCGCACGGTATGAGATGAAGGTGTCAAATTGTGGGAACATTGCTTAATTGGCACTTTCATAGGTGAGGCCCCCAAGTATGGACGCATCTTAAGTATGGAAAAGAGAGTTCGGGGAAGAAAATGTATTATATCAGTAACTGGCTTAGGGGACAATTCTTTCTCATTCAAGATTCCAGACCCTACAACCAAAAATTGGATCTTGAATTCAGGACTGTGGCATGTTGCTTTCAAGACGCTAGTGATGCGTAGGTGGGAGCTGAATTATGAGGTAATTAAACAAGATCCAAAAAGAGTCCCAATTTGGGTGAAGCTTTGGAAGGTCCCTATGGAGTTTCTCTCGATGGAAGGGCTAAGCTACATTGCCAATGCAATTGGGGTTCCCCTAGCTCTAGATAAGGCCACAGAGGAAAGGGCTCGAGTTGATTTTGCAAAAGTCTATGTTGAAATAGATGTTTATTTTGCTCAAGATTTACCAGAATTCATCCTTGTTGATGTTGAAGACTTTCCTTCTGTGGAAGTAAGGGTATAATACCCTTGGCTGCCAATAACTTGCAGTTCCTGCAACAAACGAGGGCATGCAAGCAAGAACTGTAGGATAAGGAAGCATAAGCCACAGGCTCAAAAGAAGGAATGGGTGGAGGTTACTGGTAAGGGCAAAACGCAAAATTCACAGCCCATGCAAGATGGTGAATTAGCAAAGAAAGTAGATGATAAGGGCACTTTAGTTCGGCCAGTTAAGGAGTTACATGCAAAATCTCCAATTGTCTGGTCAAATACAGTTATGAAAGAGCCCATGGTTGATATACAAGCTGTAGCAACTGTTCATTATGAGCAGCCTATTGCTGAGCTAAAGTCTTGCAAAGATGGACACAATACGCTAAAGTCTTGCAAAGATGGACACAATACATTTGAGGTCTTGGCTAATATTGATGATGAGCAAGTCTTTCCTCCACTCCAAGTGTCCTCGAAGTCCCCTAAGTCCTTAAAGAAGCAAAGGCAAGCGTCTTTAAGGGTAGTAACTGTTACAAATACCTTGCTTCCTCGGCAAAGAAATACAAAGAAAGTTGCAAATTCCTCTAGTGAGGTACCTTTACTTCCACATCATAAATGAGGATCATAACTTGGAATGTTAGAGGAATCAATAAATCTTAGAAGGATAAAGAACTTAGAAAAACTCTAAGAAATTGGGCTATTGATGTTGTCTGTTTGATTGAAACACATGTACAGTTGCCTAAGTTTGATACAATAGCTGAGTTTATCCTTCCAGGGTGGTGTAAGTTTGGAAATTATAACTATGCCTCTCTAGGTAGAATCTGATATTATGGAAGCCTCATATCACTGTGCAAATTTTTAGTGTCCATCCCCAAGCTATACACTGTCATGTGCTTGACACCAGGACTAAACACTATATGTTTGCTAGCTTCCTCTATGTAGATAATGATCTAGATCAGAGAAGTTTATTATGGGATGATTTAGTTACTTTGAAACAAAAGTTGCCAAAAGTACCATGGTTTGTTGGGGGTGACTTTAATGAAATTTGAAATCCTAAAGAGAGCTCTAATTGGTGTACCACAAAGCAATGCTCAAAGGAGTTTGAACTATTCAATGATAAGTTGAATGATGCAGGACTTACTGATCTTCTTGCATTTGGTCCTCTGTTGACATGGACAAACAAGAGGGAAGTGGGCCTTATTGCTAGAAAATTGGACAGATTAATGGTCAACAGCAAATGGTTAGAGATTTTTCCTAATACCAGAGCTGAATTCCTACCTTTGAATATTTCAGATCACTATGCAGGATCTATAACTATTATGGAGTCACCTAGCAATCATTTAAGGAGATCGTTCAAATTCTTTAATTTTTGGACAAAAGATGAACAATTTCTAAGCATTGTTCAGGATATTTGGTCTTCTGTTGAAGTTCAAGGGTGCTACATGTTTCAACTTTGTAGAAAGCTAAAAGCACTTAAAGCTTCTCTCAGGCAGTTGAATAAGAACTCATATGGTGACTTACATGAAAGGGTTATTAAGGAAACAGATAAGCTGCATGCTATCCAAATTGATCTTTTGTCTAAGCCGCAAGAAGACTTGGTGATAATAGAACAAGAGCAAGCAAAAAGACTGGCGGATTTAACATTTGCTGAGGAAGCATTTTTGAAGCAAAAGTCAAGGGTTCATTGGCTCAAAGAGGGTGACCAAAATACAACATATTTTCATAAAATCTTGAAAATAAGAAGATGCAAAAACTCAATTAAGGAGCTACATTCTGATGATGGTAAGGTGTTTACTCAACATGTAGACATTGCAAGAAAAGCTATTGCCTTCTACCAAAAGCTCCTTGGAACTGAGGACCCTTCTTGTTTGGGTGGTGAGCTTGAACTATTGAAAACACTATTCAACTTCCAGCTTCCTAACACAATGCAGCAAGACTTAATACAACCTGTCACTACAGAAGAGTTTAAGCAGATATTTTTCAATAGCCTAAACAATAAAAGCCCTAGTCCAGATGGTTATACAGCTGAGTTTTACAAGAGTGCCTGGTCTATTGTTGGGGATCTTGTTACGAAAGCTATTAAAAAGTTTTTCTCCACCAGAAAACTGCTTAAAGAGGTGAATTCTACAATAATCTCCTTAATACCGAAGGTGTCTTGCCCCTCTAAAATGGCTGAATTTAGGCTCATTTCATGCTGCAATTTGTTATGCAAATGCATTACTAAGATAATTGCTAATAGACTGAAGAAGTGCTTGCCATTATTCATTAGCAATAATCAATGTGCTTTTGTTGAGGGGAGATTGATGGTCGAAAATATTCTACTTGCTCAAGAACTGGTTAAAGATTATAACAAGACTAATATGCAGCCCATATGTGCTCTCAAGATTGATTTAATGAAGGCTTTTGACTCGGTTAGTTGGAAGTTTATTCTTGCAGCTTTGGAAGCATTATCCTTTCCCCTTGTTTTTATAAACTGGATTAAAGTTTGCATTACCTCCCCTATGTTTTCTATTGCTATAAATGGAGCCTTGGAGGGTTATTTCCAGGGGAAAAAAGGAGTAAGGCAAGGGGACCCCTTATCCCCTTATTTGTTTGTCATTTGTATGGAGGTCTTGTCTAGGTTTCTTAACAAAGCTGCTCAAGAAGGAAGACTACCATTTTCACCCAAAATGCAGTAACGTAGGCCTCACCCATCTGTGTTTTGCAGATGATCTCTTGATTTTTACAGATGGATCACCCAAGGCTATAAGTGTTGTTGACTCTATTTTAAAGGAGTTTTATTCAATAACAGGGTTGAAAGTAAATTACCAAAAGTCAGAGATTTACTATTGTGGAGTACAAGATAGTATCATCAAGAATTTGGCTGCAACTTATGGTTTTAAGCTTGGGACCCTTCCTGTAAGGTACCTTGGAGTGCCTTTGATAATAGGCAGATTAACAGATGCAACACTTAAGCCTCTCATCTTGAAAATTACTGATAGAATCAACTCTTGGACTTCAAGACATCTATCTTTTGCACGAAGGCTTTAACTCATCACTTTAGTTTTTCAAGGTATTACGAATTTTTGGTGCTCTGTTTTTATCCCTCCCAAGAAGGTTATTAAGTCCGTAGAGGCTATATGTAGTGCTTTTTTATGGAAAGGTAGAGCTATAGATGTTAGAAGAGCAAAGGTCAGTTGGGAGATTGTTTGTAAACCAAAAGTGAAGGGTGGCCTAGGCATAAAACCATTGTAGGCTTGGAATAAAGCTTGTATTTTAAGATTCATCTTGTTGCTTTTCTCTAAAGCTAGTTTAATTTAGATGGCTTGGGTACAGGCATATCTGATTAAAGGGAAAAGTTTTTGGTCATTAAAAATTTCAGGTGACACCTCTTGGTTTAGGAGGAAAATTTTAAGCTTGAGGCCTGCAGCTAGATATTTGATCAAGCACATGATAGGAAATGGGGAGAATACTTTTCTTTGGTTTGACTTTTGGCATCCAACAGGACCATTACTTAAGGTTTATGGTCAGAAAATTGTACAGGACACAGCAATTCCATTACAAGCTAAGTTGTCTCAAGTGGTGCAAGGTAATTTCTGGAAATGGTCCCCTGTTAGGTCCCCAAAATTATTACAAATTCAAATTGCATTATGTGGCAATCTGTATCCAAATGAGGCAATAGAAGACTCAGTTATATGGCTTGCATCTTCATCAGGATCCTTCAAAACTGGTTACACATGGAATCATTTGAGGGAAAAACAAGCAAAAGTGTCCTGGTTCAGGCTTGTTTGGTTTGCAAATTCTATACCAAAACATAGCTTTATGTCTTGGCTTGCTATTTTGGACAGGCTTTCAACTAGAGTAAGACAAAAATCATGGTCTCCCCATATAGATGCTACTTGTGTGTTGTGTGGGGCTGAAAATGAGACTAGAGACCATTTGTTCTTCTCATGCTTCTACTCTAGGACTATTTGGGAAGTTATTTCCTCCATGTTAGAAATTCCATTCACATTCTCTTGGCAATCTGCTTTGTCTTGGTTGTGTCACAAGGCTAAGCAGAAATCATTATACAACAGTCTTATAAGATTAGCATGGTGTGCAGCAATATACCATATTTGGATAGAGAGGAATACTAGAATTCACAAATGGACATTCAAAAGTGAGTTTGCAATTGTAAGTAAGATACAAATAGATGTCCGTGACAAGGTACTTAGTTTTGCTAAAGCAAAATCTTCTCGTATACCTAAGAGTATTGCTTCAAAATGGGGATTAGAAGTTTTGTGTAGAGACTAATATGCAATTTTTGTATAGCTAATTCATTCTTTGTATGTGAATATTGGTAGCAGCCTGTATTATAAAGAGCTGCTTTGTGTATAGTAGAAGTTTTGATAATAAAATTTACATTTTACCAAAAAAAAAGAGTGTAATTTTAAAACATTTTTAATAGTAAACAATTATGATGAGTTTGGGAATAAGATTTGATTTTTTTGGGTCCGTGTAAATCAATTGCTTACTGTGTTATTGCCACATCATCAAAAAATGCCATCTTGAACAAATTTAACGATCATGTTGGTACTTAACCAATGGAGGGATCAAAATTGTATAATTTTTAGAGTTGAAGGATCATAAAAGTACAAAAAATAGTTGAAAACAAAAATTATGTAACACTATAAAGTTATGGGACCAAAATTAACATTTAAACTTTTATATTATTCCCATAGGCACAAGTGGTTTTATGCATACAGCAGAGGAGTTGTACGTTTTTAGATTTTTTTTATTGGGGCTGGGTAGGGCATGTGCGCAGACCAAGTCGCAAGTGGTTCCGCCACTGATTGCAGGCGGTTATTCAAATTCCGTGAACTTGATGGGGTATGGAGGGGGTCCATGGCGGCTCGATATCAGCCATTCCCACAAATTTAGACAAACCCCTTGTTCATTTTTCAGGCAACAAATTAGGTTAAATTTTTCATGATTAGCCCATTTAATTCCTTTGAAAGGTGGGTTAGTAGAAAGGCAAATGGAATGCTCAAAATTGCTTTTCATCTTCTTCTCTTCAGTTAATCTCTGCTTTGCTGCCATTCCCAACTTCAAGTATCAATGTGTCACCAATGACAACTATACCCACGGCAGTGCTTACGAGATCAACCTCCAGCGCCTCTCCACCCAAATCTCCTCTACCAAGGATTTTAATTATGGCTTCTACAATATCACCGTGGGAAAGAATCCTGATCGGGTCAACGCAATTGGACTCTGTAGAGGCGACATAAAGCAAGATGCTTGCAAAACTTGCCTGAACAACAGCCTCCTCGAACTCGAGCAAAGCTGTCCTAACAACAAAGAGGCGGTCGGATGGTCGGATTCACGATGTATGTTACACTACTCAGGTCGAGATATTTTTGGAACCAAGGAAACCACTCCTGACTCATTTGAAACAACTGGCAGAAAATCACCCAATGTAGATCGATTCAATCTGGCATTGAGTTCCTTGCTGAAAAATTTGAGCAGCCAAGCGGCCGCCGG